AAGAGAATACCAAGCTTTATCTTGGTAATGTCTCCTCCCTTACTGGGTTTTGATAAGATTTCTCAGATTAATCTTGCCTCATTGATTTATTTGATGACCCAATAGACAGATGGCCCATCATTTAAATACGAACTGTGGCGGCAGAAATACGAAGAATAAGAAAGGAAGAGAGACATGTTGGGTTTCACCAGACACAATTAAAGGGTCTTGAAAAATTCAAAATAAATGAAAAAAATTGTGCGACCAAAGCAACATCTGAAATAAGTAAATGAGCATCTTATTCACCTATTTAGAAAATAATGTCACAAACTTATCATAATCTAGATCTTTGAAAAATAAAATGCTGTCCTCCAAACATAAAAAACCCCTAAGGTTACACTCAATTTAACAAAAAGGCAAAACAATCATGGATTCTTTTAGGCGACCCTGTAACAACTTAACAGGATTTCCTCTTTGTGAATAGCTACCTGTCACCAAGGGAAATCTTTTGTTGGAAATACAGGTTTGACGTTTAATGCCTTTCTCTTGGAGGGGGGCTGTTTTTTTTAACAGGAATCCCTGTTTGGGGTCAGTAGTGCAGGAAAGAGGCTTGAAATGACCTGAGACTCACCTCGGGGTATTGCTAAGAGGAAGACAAGGAGCTTTGGCACTAAAGTGTGATATTTCTGTTAGAGAGCCTTTCAATGGAGCCCAGAGTTTTATAGCCATGTAAAAAAAAAACAGGGTGCAACTTCCCTTTAAACCAGCCCTCTTTAAGTCAACCACCATCCAAATACAATGACTCATAACAGGTGCTGATTATAAAGGCATAGAAATGCCAGGATGTTTTCCAAACAATGGCCCAAGAGAGAAGGCAGAACACAATACCAGCAAATTTCTATGACATGAAATATGCATATTTAAGGGAACATAAGAATACCCATTATCCACATTTTATACAATACATCTTGTAACAAAAACAGGGAAATGATGACATTCTGACAGACATATCCAAGCTCATCCTCGTTTCCTGATCCCAGAGAGATGCATAGTATTCAAGTAAAGCTCTTCAGATTTAAAACATGTCTTGAGGCATTAGCATGCATGTTTTAGAGATTTACATGCAGTGAGGCTTTTTTCACAGAAGTCCATCCAAACAGAGCTGAGTTTTAGGCCTAGTGTTTGTTGACTGTTTTTAATTTCAAGCCAGACACATTGGGCCACTGCACACATCTGACAGTAAAATTAAAAAGGTAAGTAAATGACCTAGTGCCACCTGCTGGGTTTCCTTAGATAGAAAACTTTTAACCAGTCTGTCATTCCAAAAAAGAAAATTAAAAAAAATCCACTGGACTTTGTTTCCAAGTTTGAAGACATTTTACTTCCCATCCAGGAAGCGTTTTCTATTCAAAATGTCAGGAATAGCGTTGAATTTGAGGTTTTACACAGTGAACTCAACGCTATTCCTGACATTTTGAATTGAAAAAGCTTCCTGGATGGGAAGTGAAATGTCTTCAAACTTGGAAACAAAGTCCAGAGGATTGTTTTTCATTTTCTTCTTTCCCTGGATGACTGAGAACCTCCACCAGCATACCCAATCTGTCTGTATGATTTGACTGAACTGACTCTGTAGTGTGTTGTGGGATGACATATGTGGTGAACTGTGAAAAGAAACTGAATGGAAAAGTATGAAAACTTTTACCTGTCGTGGGTGCGCATGAAGTCCCAGGATTTTTTTGTGCCATTCTGGGAAAAAAATACAAAAGAAACAGTTATTAAAGCTTCACTAAGTGCAATTAAGATAATAAGTATTGTTTATTTGAAGTGGTGCAACTGCAGCAGAAAATAATTGATAAAAGGATAATAAAGGATGTAAGAGGCTGGCAATAAATAAACATTTCCATAGAAAATTTGTTCAAAAATACTTTGTTGACATCAAACGGAAAATAAATGTAAAATTGATTCTTAATCTCTTTAATCCAATTGCTGATGCAGAACCAATAAAACAAAGACACCCAAAAAAAAAACTTTGGAGAAATTAACAGTAAACGATGAAAATTGGTATCATATAATGTGTCATTTTCCTTGTTTCAGTTCTGTAAAGTTAAGATTTTTTTTTTTTTTTTTATGTAAAACATCCTCCCTTTTTTGTCAGCTGCTGGGGAAAGGAGGTTCCTAATGACTCAAAGCCAAAGCATCTTTTCTAGTCATGCAGCTTTGTTGACATCATCTATTGTAATTCTTTAATAGTTTATAGTCACATAATCACATCATAAGGGTGAGAAGGTAAACACTCCCTTCTGTAGATTTCCAGGACAAAGAAGCTCACACTGCCAGGGTGATGTGTGAAACTAATATCTGATGGATTGTTTGCCGTATTTTTTTTTATTTTTTAAGTAAAGCTCATCACAGTATAAAAATATCTTAAGTTATTTCAATTTACAGTTCCTGTCACTTTTAAGGCAAATTCAGACTATTCTCATCCATTAATGTGTGTCTGCAAAACAGTATTGGTCTGTATCCACTTTTTATATCATTAGAGCGGCTATAAAAGTAATAATTGGGTTTATGGTGTTAAAATCTGCTGAGACATGTTTCAGAATTTGCTAATTTACAGCATTTGAAGGCTTTCTAACTGATCCAAGTGCAGGCTTGATAAGTACACATAATAAGGTATTAAAAAAGGCCCAATTCAAAGGTGATCCTTGCACAAAAAATAAACCAAAATGACTCCCTCCTTGTTTTTCTCAGGAACAGAATGGAGGTTTTAATGACGCATAATATTATGCAGTTTAACTATGTTAATTCCAAGTAAAATAAATATTAAACTAAGAGAAGATCAATTTTTTTATATTGTTAAAACACTTTACAGTACAGTGTTTAATTGTTTATCTTTTGACTCTTCATTATTATGTTATTCTTATATTTTTAAAAGGTCCATATTTGTGTGACTACTAAAGGTATTTCCTATTCTATTCTATCAAATGCACCATAGAGTAATAACTAAAAGCAGTGGAATACCACTTAAGTTTAGAAACCATAGGAAGCCATGAAGTAGATATGAATATATCTCTCTCTATATATATACACACATATATATATATATATATATATATATATATATATATATAAAATACTTTCTTTAAATGGTTTTTAGACTATATTCAAAATGCAAACCTGCTGTAAAGGACAATCACAGCCTACAGGAAGAAATTACCATAAACAACAAAAAGAGTTTTCCTTTACATGTCTGATGCACTAAAATAAGCCCACACAAACCCCATGTGTTCAGTTATTTAACCTATATTGCTCTCTACATATTATGTGCCATTTAAAAAAAAAAAAAGTTAGCCTACATTTACAATGCCTAAGGAAATCTGACCTTGATTCATATTTAGGTTACATCTCCTCTCCTACCACAAGCTTTGCTGGATGCAGAGAAGACTGCTATTCCAGAGCCGGCTTGTTTCAGAAACGTGACCTGGAGTCAGAGTTTGGCTCAGGCTGCCTGGGAACCATACCATCTCCAGTTGATTAGCACAGAAAATATGATGGAGAAACAAAAAAAAACTGAAAATCAACAGGGCTGTTGTTAAACAAGCATAAATCAAGTCCTTGTTCATTTTTAATAAACTAATTTTCTGACTACCCATTTATATAAATCCAAAGTACTTCCATCAAGGCTATTGACTCTTCAACAGTCTTTTTTTTTTTTGCAATACAGTGAACTGAAAATACATTTACATTATGCCTATACGAAATACATTTTATATTCAAATGGCTGCATACTTGTCTACTTATTCATGGTTTTGAACTGGTTAATTAATAACATTATAATTTGCTTTATTACTCTATTTTTAAGAAAGAAACTAATGCCTTATAAAATACAACAATATTAAAATATCAAATTTGACTTGGTTTAGAGTTAACTTTTAGAATGGAAAATAAAGATGCAAGTTATCGATTTATTAAGTTAATGATGAATTTATCATTAATTTTATTCTTAAA